AAGGTAGTTGTGTAACTATAAAACTATCATAAGGGCATATTTCTCTTCCTTCTATAATCTGATTTTTAAATTTTGTAAAACAATATATAAAATTATATTTTTAAAGTTAGTAACATTTGGAAATGTAATATATTCAACAATAGCCACACAAAGGAGGCAGATGGAAGCAAAACGGTATGATGGCAAAGAAATGACACCAGATAGTAACACAAATCCATAGGAACAAATGAAGAGAATTAGAAATTATAAATAAAAAGTTATTAGTCTCTGTTTATAGAACAAACTATAAATACATGCTTGATCTTTTTTCTTCTCTTAGCTCCTTAAAGATGTACAATTATCTTAAGTAAAAATTATAACATTGTATTATTTGGTTTGTCACGCATCGAAATGTGACATATGTAACAATAATAGCACAGAAAGGGGGAAGAGGGAATAGACCTATATAGGAGTAACCTCTTATATATCACTGGAATTAAATTATTATAAATGTGAAATAGATTTTGATGTTAAGAAGTATATAGTAAGCCATAGAACAAATGAAAAAATACTATAAAAAATGAGGAATGATTAAAGGAATTAAATATTATACTAGAAAATATTCATCAGTGTAAAAGAAAGAGAAACAGCAGAACAACAAAGACATGAGACATATAGAAAACAAGGTAAAATTGTGTACCTAAATCCAACTATATCAATAATTACATTAATTGTGAATGGATTAAAAATTAAATCAAAAGGCAGAGATTGTGAGAATAAAAATAAAGATAAAACTATATGCTGTCTACAGAAAACACTCTTAAATTCAACAGAAAAAATTAGCTGAAACTAAAAGAATGGAAAATATATACCATGCAAACAAGAAAATAAAAGATTTGGACAACTGTAAAGGAATTAGACCTAAGATACTTCAGCAAAGCACTCCATTTAACAATGGTAAAATATACGTTTTTCTCTAGTGCACAAGAAATATTTTCCAGTATAGGTCACAGTCTAGGTGATAAGGCAAACCCAGATAAATTTAAAATGATTGAAATTGTGCAGTGTATGTTTTCTGAATATAATGATTTTAAATGTAGAGAGAAAAAAATTGGGAAAATCATAAATATGTGGAAATTAAATACTACATATGTAAATAACCAAGAGATCACAAGAAAATTACTAGGGCTATTAACCAATACTTTGTGTTTAATAAAAGTAAAACAAAGCATACCAAAACTCATGGCATGTAAGTAAAGCAGTGCTTAGGAAAATATTTATAAGTTGTAAATTCCTATATATTTTTAAAAAATCTCAAATCGATAACCTAGCCTTATACCTTAAGATACTGGAAAAGAAGAGCAAATTAAACCCAAGACAAATAGAATGAAATATATACTAAAAACTAAAGCAGAAATTAATGAACTAGAGAATGTAAATAAAGAAAACCAATAGAGAAAGTCAGAGAGAGCAAAAGTTGGTTCTTTGATAAAATCAGGAAAATTAAAAATCTTTAACTTGACTGACTGAGAAAAGAAGAGATAGGCTGAAATTACTAAAATCAGAAATGAAAGATGAGACATCACTCCTAATATTATGAAAATAAAAAGAATTAAAAGGCAATACTGTGGACAACTATATTTCAACAAATTAGATAACTTAGATAAAATAGAAAAATTTCTAGAAGACACAAACTACCAACACTGACTCCAGAAAAAAAGAAAAAATTTGAATACCTCTATAGGAATAAAAAGATTGATTAGGTATTTAAAAACATTGCCACAATTAAAATCAGGCTCAGTTGGCTTCAGTATTGAATTATAACAAAAATTTAAAGAAGAATTGGTACCAATTTGTCTCAAATTTTTTCAAAAATACAAAGGATGAAGGAACACTTTCCAACTAATGTCTATGAGATGTTCATAAACATTACAAGGAAACTACAGACCCAACTTTTTCTATGAATACAGTCACTGAAAAATAGTCAACAAAATTCAATTACACTAAATCTGACAGCTTTAAAATGGGATTATATTCCATAACCAAGTGAGATTAACCCAGAAACAAGGTTGATTTAACTTCCCAAAATAAATTTCCATAATAATAATAATAAACCATGATAATAAAGAGTCAAAGACACATGATCATCTTAACAGATGAATAAAAAGCAGTTGATAAAATTTGACACACATACCTTACACAAAATATTCCACAAACTAGAAACAGAAAAAACTTAAAATCCACAGCTGACATCATACTTGATGAAATACTGAAAGCTTACCCCTAAGATCGGGAACAAGATGTGGATGTTCATCATTATCATTTATAGTCAAGACAGGGAATTTTTGCAATATAATTAGTCAAAAGGCTTCCAGATTGGAAAGAAAGATGCAACATTGTCTCTATTTGGATACAACATGATCTTTTATTTAAAAAATTCTAAAAATCTAAAAATTATTAGAAATAAGTTCAGCAACTTTGCAGGATGCAATAGTAATATACAATAATGGATTGTGTTTCTTTACAGTAGCAATGAACAAACTGAAAATAAAATGAAAAAATCCCACTTAATATAGCTTCAAAAAGGATAAATTAACATAAGATGTGCAAAGCTCATATTCTGAAAACTACAGAAGACTGTTGAAAGAAATTAAAGAAAACCTTGAAAAATGGAGCTATGCTTGTTCATAGATTGACTTTGTAGTTGGTATGCCAGTATTCTCCAAATTAATCCATAGGTTCAATGTAGACCTTATCAAAATCACAATGGACTTATTTTCAGAAATTGAGAAGCTGATTCTAAAATTTATATGGAAATTTAAGGGGCCCAGAATAGTGAAAAAAATTATGAAAATGGAAACCAAATTTGGAGGACTTACACTTCCTGATTTAAAAATCTACAAGTTACTACAAAATTGAAGTAATCAAGACTATTTTCACTAGCATAAAAATGGATCTATATGCACTTGAGACAGGATTATAAGACAAGAAATAAACTTTTATATGAATCAGTTTATGTTCAATTGATTTTCAACCGGAGTACATAGGCCATTCAATTGGGAAAATAATAGTATTTTCAACAAATGGTGCTAAGACAACTAGATAGCAACATGCAAAGTAATTAAGTAGCACAACTGCATCGCATTATAAAAATTAAATGGATCAAAGAACAATATTCCATTTTGGAACATTGGATCACTCCAAAAAAGAAATCCGCACCCATTAAGAGTTACTCCTCATTTCTTCCCAACTCCCGAAACCTACACAGTCACTAATTTACTTCTTGTTTCTACAAATATATTTTTGATATTTTACATAAATGGAGTCATACATTATTGTTTTGTGAATTACGTCTTTCACTTAGTGTGTTTTCAAAATTCATCCATGCTCTCACATGCAACAGTACTTTATTACTTTTTATGGCCAAATAGCACTCCATTGTATGAATATGCCACATTTTATTTATCCATTTATCAGAGAATGGAAATTTAGATTGTTTCCACTTTTTGACTGTTATAAATAATGTTGATATAAACAAACATTTGTGTACAAATGAATATTTGTATAATATGGACATATATTTTTACACCCCTTTGTATATAGCTGAAAATGGAATAGACAGGACTTGTGATGACTCCATGTTCAACCTTTTGAGGAACTGTCAAATTGTTTTCTAAAGTAGTTGCAGCATTTTACATTCCCAACTACAATGTATGAAGATTCCAGTTTCTTCACATCCTTGTCAACACTTGTTATTGCCTTTTTAATAAAAAATATGTAATAATTGTAATCACTGTAGTATGAAGTGATATCTCATTTGGTTTTGTTTGTTTTTGTTTTGAAACAGAGTCTTGCTCTCTTGCTCAGGCTAGAGTGCAGTGGGATGATCTTGGCTAACTGCAGCCTCAACTTCTCGGGTTCAAGTGATGCTTCCACCTCAGCCTTCCGAGTGGCTGGGACTACAGGTGTGCACCATCACACCTGACTAATTTTTGTATTTTTTGTAGAGATAAGGTTTTGCTATGTTGCCCAGTCTGGATCTTACTCATTCTTTCTGCGTCACCTTAGGGTTCTGAGTGTCTTTTCATTCTCTGACTGAGAGGGCTGGGAACTGCTTTTCAGCAAAATCTAGGCCTTGTTGGCAGGTGCTATCGTGGCTCACCTCCATGTGCCAGGGGGCTGGCTATTTTTCATTGATTGCTTATCCTTTTGATGTCATATCTAAGAAAGCTTTGTATAACCTAAGGGTTCTTCCAAGAGTTTTATAGCTTCAGCTCCTGGATTTTGTTCTAGATCCACTTTGCATTAATTTTTGTTTACAATGTGATGAAGTTGTGCAACTTAATTACTTTGCATTTGGCTGTCTAGTTGTCTCAGCACAATTTGTTGAAAATACTATTCTTTCCCCATTGAGTGGTCTATGTACCCTTGATGAAAATCAATTGAGCATAAATTGATTCATATAAAGATTTATTTCTGGTCTTGCAATCCTATTCCAATGATAAGTAGATCGATTTTTGTTTTTATGCTGGTCCAGATAGTCTTGATTACTTTAGTTTTGTAGTAATGTCCATATAAATTTTAGAATCAGCTTCTCAATTTTTGCAAATAAGTCTGTTGGGATTTTGATAAGAGTTGTGTTGAACGTATAGATTAATTTGGAAAATATTGTCATACCAAAAACAAATCAATCCATACACAAGGATATTTTTCCATTTCAACATTTCTGTAACTTCTTTCAACAACATTTTTTTCTTCTTTCGACAATCTTATCAGAATATAAATTTTGCACATCTTAAAATTAATTCCTAAATATTTTTTCTCTTTGATGCTATTGTAAGTGGGATTATTTTTATTTCATTTTCAGTTTGTTCATTGCTAATGCATAAAAAATAATTATTGCATTATTATTATACATGTTTTAAAATATATAGTTAATTAGGAGGGCAATGATTGATTATTGAATATACTTATCATCACATGTATCTTTAATGGACTAAAATGTTGCATTTTCTCTGCAGATATCACACTACAGAAAGAAAGTCAGGAAGGAATTCCACTCCAGACCCAGAATCAGGAACCTCTAAAACCTCAGGAAAATATATCACGACCCATCCACAACCCCTTAGTTTTAAAAACCAATTTTGAGGAAGAAGAGGAAATAGATGAACAAAATGGTTAGTAGACATTTACTCAGGTTTATAATGTGCATTCACAAACCTCACAACATTTTCTACATATGTGTTTAACTATAGAGGTTTACGTTGAAATATATAAGGCAGATTTTGCTGAGAACATTAATTGTATTAAACAAATTTAATTCGTTATATTCTAATTTGTTCTATGTCTAACATATTTATGATCATTTGAATTGGAAATTTTTTGTTGTATGATGGCTGGGAGACATGTCTGATGCTTAAGTATATACAGGTATATATATTAGTATATATAGAGAGAGATACTAATAAGCTCCCTTTTTTATATATAACTTTCTAAAACACATTGATGCACATGTGTTTGTTTATATACATATGTATTAATAATATATTAGCTTCACATTTAATTCTTGAGTTACAGAGATCTATGTAATAGTTAATAATATATAAAGCACCATCATCTGCATTATTCTAGGTCATCCTCACCAGAGTATGAACAGGTTTAGAACCAAGATCTTTGCAGTTTAGTTCATCCTTTGCCTACCATATCAACCCAGCACAGTGGTGCCAGAAAGTGTGTATATACAAGATAAACATGAAGAAAAATAAACTTTCACTCTGTCTTTGTGCTGGAATGTGTCCTTCTGTGGGCTACAGGCTGCCATAGTTTCTGTGCTTAGGAATACACAGAGCTACTTATTACTGTTTCTGTGTGCTGCAGCTCCATGTCTCTCATGCCTACATCAATCTCCAAATAAACATACACCATCTCAACATTGAGTCTATACATTCAGTGTCTCATTTCAAAGTACATAATACATAGTCCTTTCTTTTCTCTTGACTAATTCTTTTTAAAACTTAAAATGTAGCAACTTGAAACTATTACTAGTATGTAAAATTATTGACTTTAAACATATAAAAACATAATCTATCCATGAGAACAATATTTGGGGTTTTTCTTTCTAGTTTATAAATTTTCAGATTATTTGGCTTTGGGAAAATTTAATTTAAAAAATGTATCCTATAGATGCTTCTAGTTTATGGACAAAGACTCCTGAAGAAATTGAAGAAAAAAGAGCAATTAAGGAGATGTGTTATAAATCTGGTAAGAAATCAAACATTTTTTGTATTTTATAATACTTGATGTGATCAGTATACTAACCATTACTTTTCTTATGGTTGATTAGGAGAATACTACAGATTTCATACTCCTCCAGATATTTCATCCTCGAAAAGTGTGGCCCCTACAGTAGAAAAAGAGTCAGAAAAGCCTTTGGAAAGTGGCAGTGAATTGCAAGAAGGTAAGAAATGAAAAGGCAGCATTCATAGTGATATATAAGAGATACTTGGTGTGATAGACTGAATTATTTAGTATGATGTACAGAAGAATAAAGTGATAAATAATACATTGTAGTTGAGAGCTAGAAGAAAGTGTTTGTATTGGATGATCCAAAGGTACTATTATATGGGATTATGTTATCCTAGAGAAATGACAGAATGAATAGACTTCATAACACACAATGACACTACACACTCCATGGAGTAATCCTGTAAATAATTTGCTTTTACCATTTTATTTGTCTTTGAGATAAATCACCCCTGTGAAAGAGGTCTAGATTTTTCTTTCTGAATAGAAAAGTAAGCCTAGCCCAAGAAGAATAGATTACAGAATGACGCTAGCGGCAGGACAAAGATTATTTGGTCATTGAATGAGAGTCTTCTGTGGACCAGGCTATTTCAGGGGCCGTGCTGGTGGACAAATCAAAGGCTCTGTGTTTTATGGCGCTTATTTTGGAGAATCTGATTTATTGTGGATGAACATCCACAAGATGTTGTGCAAGTCTGTTTGTGGTGAACTATTCAAACGTGTGGCGGTAGGTGGCAGCAACACAGCATCAGATGGAGAAGAGTCTGCAAGACTTGGGAGCCATATAGGGAAGGACAGATTGCAAGTCTGCACTACTCAGAGGAGAAAAAACAAAAGGAAACAAAAACAAAAGAAGAAAATAAGTTGACAATGAATATTATACATGGCATATTATGAAGACTATTATATGTACTTTTGCTTTGTATTATGCTTTCAAGGCTTTTATTTTTAACTAGTTTCAGTTAATTCCTGTATACCCTTCACCTATATTTCCTTCAGATATTAGCATTTTACCATATTTGAATTTTCACTATCTCTAAATATACACATTATTATAATTTTCTGAACTGTGTGAGAGAACGTTATAGAAATGATATCACTTTTATTTTGCATAACTGTAGTATAAATATAAAAATCAGAAAATTACCACTGCTACAATATCATTTATAACCTTCTTTTACCACGAATTTTACCAATTATACCATTAATGTCCTTTATAGTAAAATTAATTTTTCCCCGGTCTAGGATTCAATCCATAATCATTTTTTTGGATTAGGTTGTCATGTCTCTTTTATTCTGTTTTTGTTTATTTTAGAAGAAAATTATCTAGAAGTGCATGGGGAAAGCCGAGAGTATTATTTAATTATCAGCATAATTAGCATTTTGTAGTGTTAATACGTTTTATCTGATTGTTCGTGGTGAACAGATAAAATCAAAAGCAATATTACAAAATTCATTATATGAGAAACATATCAAACTAAATATATTATGTACATACAATAGTGTTAGATAGCTTAAACATTTTTAATTGCCATTGAATAAATAATCCAAATAGGAGAATATACTTGCCTACTTCTTTGTTGAAATTACAGAATTTAAAACTCATATATTTATTAATTTATTGTTTATCAGATCACTGTTCAAACAATACTTGCATTAACTTGAAAGCTTTTTTACTTTCATCGTGAATTCTACCATAAGTTTCTTATTTAAGCATCTAATAATTTCTGGAGAAATTATTTTTCTTCTTCTTATTTCTAGGAGATAGTCTTACAGTTCCGACAAAATTTAGCCAATATGAAAGGCAAGGTGAAATAAAAACATCATTGCATAGGAAACCAGGGACTGACATTGCTGCCTCTGAAAATGGAGGTAAGTTAATTTATTACTGATTGACTGAATCTATCACCACATAATAAATGTCTGAATTTTATCTTTTACAACTAATTTTTCTTTTTTTGATCATGTCATGTTTAACACAGGGAGTTGGAGGTACATCACAAAGTCAGTTGCTTTCAGAGACTAAAATCTCTACCAAAAACCTTGCGTGAATTTGTGTTCAGTGTGTAAGACATTCCATTTTCCATATTTTAATGAGAAACCTGATGTGTGTGTGCCTGTGTGTGTGTGTGTGTGTTTGTGTGTGTGTGTAGGCTTGACTCCAGACTGTAATGAATTCAGGTGTCATGTACGTGCTGTAATATACTATAACAGAACTGTAAATGAAAGAGGCACTTAATAAGTCATTTGAATAAGTCTGCTTTAAAGTAGCTGTATTCAAATATATATCACGTGTGCCAACACATCACATTATAACTGTGTATTATAGCTTAAATATTTTGGAACTGCTTTTTAGCATAAACATGTTGGAAAATCAATCCTTTGACTGAAAATTCCAGGCATTTGTTTTAAAAATATATAGAGAGTTTGTGGGGAGATTTAAAGGTGTGGCTGGTGGGAACAATGTGCGTGAAGGTCAGGAAGGGAGTTGAGAGCAGGTATCAATAAGGATCAGTATATTTTAGGCATATTGGTGATACTTTCTGCTGTCCTGGTATCAGCCATTTTCTTCGGTGTATGCTTTTTTTTTTTTTTTTCCTGGTGCTAAAGTAATTTGATTCTTTCTTCTTTCTTATATCTGCAGCATTTTAATCTAGCTGGCATTGTTTGGTGGCCTTGAAGCAATAAGTTTAGCTGCAAATTAGAAACCCTGGTAGTTTCTCCCATTGGAGTTCCCACTGTCTATATAACCTATATAAGTGGGATCCACTTAACCTGAGCAATTTTAATTGAACATTCTATTGAAATATTATTAAATCTAATTGCCTTTTAGTTAATAAAAAGATATTTTCAACCATTGGTAAATTAATGATTTCATATAAAAGTAAACTTTCCTTCAATTTTGACATTAGTAATATATTCCCTACTTTGTTGGGTGTTAGAAAATGTGAGAATGTCATACAGTCATTAGCCTATCTACCATTCTTTTGGTATGATTGCTCAACCAGTTTATTACTATAATATTGTTATAAATTATTATCATAAACTGGTTGAACAACCATACCAAAGGATGTTAAAAAAATTCCATCATCTGGCATTCTAGATTCTGGCATAGTTAGGCTTATTGATTTTCCAGGCATCATTATGCTCTCTGTGTTACTAGATAAAGGAATCTTCTGGGTATAGGTATATGATAGATATATCTAAACATATTCAGACCCCTATATTCATAAGACATCTTTAAAATGAAGACGATCAAAAACTGAAATTATAATTAATGAGTTAGTGTTCAATTTCAAGAAAAATACTTGAGGTATTGTCTTAATATTATTTTAATGTGTTATACACTTTAATAAAGTTCACAGATCTGGAGTGAATAGCTTGTTAAAATTTTATGTGTGTATGTATCAGTATAACCATATTTATGGTACTCCCGATGGCTCCTTCTCTCCAAGTCAGTAGTCTTCTCCCAATGGTAACCACTACTTTGCTCACTCTTACTATAGGCGAATTTTGCATTTTTTGACGTTTATATAACTGGAAATATACAGTTTGAACTCTTTTAGTTTGGATTCTTTTACTTAATGCTCTTTTTATGAGACTGATCCATGCTGTTGATTGTAGCAGTAGCCTTTTTACATTGCTGTAAATATATATAGACAGATAGACATATACTGCATATATATACACATATCTATATATAAGATGTATACTATATATATGTATGCATATATAAAAACATGGGCATTCATTCTCTCTATATAGTATATACATATACACACAGTTGATACAAACACAAACCCACACACAGTTGATTCTTGTTATTCCTGGTAGCTATGTTCTATAAAGCTGACATGAACACTGAATTAGCAAACACTGAACCATTGCTCCTTGAGGAAATACTTACACACACACATATACATACATCTCACAGAGATTATAATCTTAAATCGTAGAAATTACTCAACCTGGTATATTCTGTTTTCTTTATTTTACAAAAGAGAAAATAAAGTTAAGAAGTTTTAAGTGACTCTCCTGGGGTTTCCCCACCGACAAGCCTCAGAACTTGAATTGAGATCCCTTCCACCTCTCCCCAGAGTCAGAGCTTCTTGCACTGTGCTGTGCTGCCCCCTCCTGTCTCCAGCCATTCTCTGGTCATCTCTGTATGAACTGAAATGAGAATGCTGAGCATTGCCATTGTTAGACCTCAGCTAGAAATGTGTGGGTCTAACAACTCAAAATTTTCACCATTCTTTATACGTTTGTAAACAAATAAACAAACAAAAAACAAGACAAGAAAGCACCATGAGTATCGATATTGGGATTTTGGCGAACAAGATTTCCAGTTTGGGACTATTGTTAACATGCTTGCACATGTCTTCTAAAGGCCATAAGCACTCTTTTTCTTTGAGATAAGCTTGCTCTGTACCCTAACCCACAATGAGAATTTTCAGTCCTTTAACTTTAGCCTTTCTGGTGGGTGGCTAGTGGTACATCTTTGTAGTTTTAATTTGTATTTCCCTGATGACTCATAATGTTGAGCACCTTTTCATAAACTTATTGGCCATTTTGACTTTCTCTTTTGTGTGGTGCATTTTTAAGTCTCTAGTCCATCTTAAATGTTTTTTTTTTTTCTTATTGATTTCTCTAGATAAATCTGGATACTTTCTGCCAACCTACTGTCCTGCTCACTAATTCTCTTTCTCTCGGCTCTTCAATCCATATTTTAAATTCTAAATTTCTGTTTGACCTTTTTATTGATTTTCTACTTAAATTCTCTATCAGTTCTCTATTTTGATAATGTTCCTGTTATTTTTTCCAACTTCTTGTTTGATAACAGTTGGATATCTCTCACTTTCCTCAGGTTTTTGCTCATTTGTTCTGTCTAACTATGCCCTTCTAATATTTTATTTGCTACTGAACATTATAGATAAAAATTACATAATGTATGAATGATGTTGTTTTTTAAGAGAGAAACTTTTCTTCTGGCAGCTAGACTATCAGCTGGTCACTTAATTCTGTGAAAGACTGCTTTTGGGCTTTATTAGGGATGATACATTATTTTTCATTTCTTTGAAGGTGTAGTCCTCATTCCTAGGATATGACATTTACCACTACAGCATTGCTTTACTGGGTTATCAACTGAGACATGGGGTGTTCACCAAGATATCTCTACTCTGGTGAGGCTTCTGTGCCAAATTTTACCTCACAAGCAGTATGTAGATGCTGAAATCTCTGACCAGTTTTTAACCTCCCAGATGCTGTTTTGCTTAATTCCTAGGGTTCCATTATGTATATGAAAAATGTGGGAGTCGGGTAACAACCTAAAGGGAGTTTTAGTTTTATGTCTATTTCAAGGGAACTTCTTTGTTGTTCTTCCTTTTTCATTTCCTGCCTCAAGTTCAAGCCAATTAGACAGTCCCAGACTTTTGGCTCTTTTTTACCTCCTTGGTGTCACTTTCTGCTTGTTATTTCCTTATATGATGAACTGGACATGCTTTCAGTGAGGGATCTGTAGTGAGTGTGGAGTGTAACTCCTTCGGGGAAGAAAACCAGGGTAAATGTGAACATACAATTGATTTTGTGTCCCTCCATTGCTCTCAGGGATTACACTAGCATGCATTGGGTTGTTTTCCAATCAGTGTGTTTTGGCATTTCATAATTGGTTTTGGGATGAAATTTATTCTGATAAAAGCCATTTTTGACATGGCAGAAACCAAAATTTTTTTTTAACCTTTTCATCACTGGTTTTGTGTAAGCTCCTTGAGGCCAGGAACTGTATATAATCAATCGCTATAGATAAATATCTGTAGTAAAATGCCTGGCACATTATGTGTACTCAGTAAATACTTGTAGAATAAATGATGATATGTTAAAATGCATTGAATGACTGGGTGAATGTAGACATATTTATAAAATTTACAGTTAACTGGAAGTTAATTTGTTGGAACAATTAGCCATATCTTACAGGGTAACGTCAAACAATAATAAACATACATTCTTACATTTAGCTACAAAACATTAAATAGTGGCTTTTCTTTGAGTTGGGGAAACCCAACATGATGGAGTTTGTGAGGGGAAGATATAGTGGGTTTTTTGGCCACAATGTTTCACAACAATTTAGGAGTTTTCACTAGACGGTAAACTCACATTGGATTATTAGAAGTAGTATGGAAAGATAGTTAAATGCTATTTAAAGTACTCAGTAGCGGGTCTGATACCTAGAAAATTACTCCATGAATGGCAAATATTATTATACTAGTTTCGCTGATTTCTCCACAACTTAGTTCACATTTGGGTGTCATTTTTAAATAAGGTTATTTGACACAAATATTTTATGCTAAGAAGAGGTAACTTGTACAGTAAAGGAGTTTGGAATTTTGTATGTAAAGTTTAAAGCAACTATGAATATTTATTCTGGAAAATAGAAGACCTCGGGGAAACATGAAAACTGCTTTAAGATATCTGAAGATTTTATATGGAAGATAAATTACATTTACTTTGAGTATCTCTAAAGGGTGGTACTAAAGAGTATTATAAATTAAGGAAAATTTTGTTGACTCTATGAATTTTCTTGCAATTATTTGTATGTAAATTTACATACTGTGTATTCATATACATATATATTGATACACATATATTAATCTAAGCATATAAATGTATGGAAACAGGTATGGTATCACTGAGAAGTATCCAAACAAAGGTGGACAAAAGGGGTGTTGTAGAAAATGTTCCTGTATTGAAAGGTAGTTTGTATCACTTTCTGCCATCATTGCCATTGACAGTAAGGTTTTGTCATAGGAGGTGACTGTTATGTTCCACAGAGGATCATGTTTCTTGGAGTAGATGAAAATGAAGCTTTAATGGAAGAGAAAGAAATCACCATATCAAAATTTTCAAATACTAAAGGTAATGAATTATTTATATAATTTTGATTCATTTGTAATTTGGCTAGATGAGTTAAAGATAACGTTGCTTGTTATAAAAACCAGTGTAAGAGGAATGGTAATAAATCAACATATACACTGAATAGGAATCAAGAGCTCTAAGGTTCCAGTCCTGGCTCTGTCCATAATTGTATGACCATGACAATTTTTCCTTATCTGAAAAATGGCCTGTTGAACTGTATAATTTCTAGGAGTATTGCTAGTTCTAAAGTTACTGGCTCTCTTAACTGTAATACCAAGTCCTTTAATATATAATGTCAGTATAAATTAATTTTCTTAGAAAATATTTTGAAAATCTTAATGAGTTTAATCTTGAAAAGACTTCTATATTTTATACCTGTTGCTAACACTAGTCTATGAATAATCAAGACATATGATAAAATACATTCTCTATAGTTTTACACTACCTTTAACGGTGCTTAGAATCCACCATCTGGTATCTCTCTGCTGAGTGCCCCTCAGTCACAGACTAAAAATACAGCTGTCCTGTAATTAGGGAGCTTCACATACTCTCAATCAAAATGTAAACCCATTTTATCCACTATCTCTACCATTAAATATTCTCAAGCATAAGAAAGGGCACTAGTGATCAAATTATTTCTGCGGAAAATTATAAATCTTTCTCTCATTTTCTCACTCAAAGATGGAAAGGTTTTGCCCAATTCATCAAAGAAACTCTTAAAGCTATACTAATACAGTAGCCGCCAGCTATGTATGACTGTTTAAGTTAAAGTTGAATAAAATAAAAAAATCAGTTTTTCATTGGCACTAGCCACATTCCATGTACTCAGTAGTCACAGGAAGCTAATTGCTGCCATACTGAACAGCACAGATTTAGAACATTTTCATCATTGTGGAAAGCCCTACTAAGGAGTTCTGCTCCAAAGCATATAACAGGAAGTTAGTTCTGCTCCAAAGCATATAACGAGTTAAAGTTGTTACATTTAAAATATGTTCAGAACCCCAACTTAAATGGGACCATTCAATGTAAAAATTTTAAAACTTCTGTATGGAGATATTCAAAATATTGCCACAATTTTTAATTTACATATTGAAAATAATGGCTATAGTTTCAGAGTTTTATTTTGTTACTGATGACATTTGGAAATCCATGTGGCAATTAGGGAATGTTAATGATGCTTTCCTCACAATGAACTAACATATATATTATTTTAAAGAACTGTTCCCATCATGTAATGTCTGAATAGTGAAATACCAACTGAAATGTTTTTTTAAAACTAATATTGACGTTTTATTTTCTTAATTTGCTTTAAAAGATAACAAGGACAGTCCTCATCCAAAGCGTTCCCTAACTACCCGACTAGTACCTACAACGCATGTATTAAATGCTACTGAGAATATCAGTATGAAGTGCAGAGAGGATCCCTCTTCAAGTGAGACATTAGCTCTATCACTTTTGGCCTTACATATATTTGTCTTACCATGGATTTGTATTGGTTATTTAAAACAGAATTTTAAAAAAGAAAGAAAAAAAGGTTTCAAAATTATTCAGAACTAAGAATTAAAGACACAATATCCTCTACTGACAATGAACTGTGATGTAGGTCCTAGTGCATTATATGCTTTCCACTAGTTTAATCTGGGTCTTAAAATTAATAATATACTATCTTTTTGGAAGATTCACTAGCATAACATTTTAAATTTCACCCGTAGTGGAATAATCCATTGACGGCTTTTTATTATGTTTTGGATTATTTTTTATTAGTTTGGCTTCTCCTTGACATTCAGTTCAATGAACGACTTCTCTTGATACAGTTAAGACTTGTGAATCTTCCTGATCCCTTCCCTTCTTTCTTTTGTTCCTTATTTTATGCATTGCACCCCTAAAATATTCTTGGATCGCAGCCTGACACTGATAGGAATAACTGTGATTTGCCCCCAAGAAGCCCAGTTTAGTAGCACTTGTTAAAAATATGGATTCCAAATCATTGGACTGGCAGCTTGGGAGTAGGGCAGGGGCATGATGTTTGAGGAAGGGACAGTGATTCAGATCTTTATTGAGGGATTAAAGCTTAAACTGAGAGGGCACAGAAAGATTTATTAGTCTACTGTAGAAAACTAGCATAATCTACACTGTACATTTGGTGATCAGTTTCTCTTTGCAGTGGTCACTTGTGATTTTTCAGAAGCCCCACACAGTGAAGTGACAGAATGCCCCCTCTACAAAATTGTTTAAAAATTCTCTGGAGATATGTACCATAGAAATTCCTGAAAAACTGAGAATATGTATAAAATTTTTGATGTGAAAATATGCAAATAAAAAGTGAAAATTTAATATTCTTAGAATGTACAAATTCTGATTACTTAATCTTGACCAAAGTCTCTGTACACCCAACTTAAGACCTTAAAAGAATAAGGTAAAATTCACTGAAAGTATTTGACGTTAATACAACTTCTTAAGAAGTAGTAGTTTGGCTAAAAAGTACAAAAAGATTCGTGTGGAAAATAATGATTCTAAAACTACTTAAAAATAGCATTATAATGATATTTATAATTATATATTTTGAATGCAATTTTATGTTCCTTTAAAAGAATCCACACATTCCTTTGGAGAAAATTATTTTTCTTTAAGGAAATCTACTTATTGAAGGTTATCTCATCAATCTACTTCCATGATAGATTTTTTTGGCACTTAAAAATAAATCACCTTTTGTTCTAAAAAGTAAAGTATTAAGGTAGTACATTTATTTTTTACTCTTGCTTGACATGTGAATGCACAGATATGTAATTATCATCTACAGTAATTCTAAAGATAAAAGCATCTCTTAAAAAACTGTAAAATTTGTATATTTTCTAAGTGAATGATGTCCAGCCAAGGAAGCCTCATTTTAAAGGTGTGAAAAAAAGAAAATGGATTTATGATGAACCAAAGAACTTTCCCGGCTCTGGAATACAGAGAGGTAAAGTGTCCATATATTTGATATTTCTAAATTGTAATTTTAAAAGAGAGTAAATATCAGATATCTTCTACCTGAAAAACAAATTACTGTCATGTGACATAGTTGTTACTTTAGGTGTCAACTCAACTTCTCTAAACTCCATTATTTTGGCTTCCATTATGCCATGAAGTACTTACAGTGCGATATGTCATTTATGGGTGTGAAACCAGCCTGTTTTATTCATCACTCCCTCCTGCCTTTCTTTACAGCAGTAAAGACCCCAAGTCCCCAAAATAAAATGAGTTACCATCGCAATAATAAAAATCGAAATACTGAGAATGCATCCTATGTTCATGTTCAAAGAGATGCCGTCAGGAGTGTCTCGTTGAATGCACCTCCCCGCAGCAGGCCCACACAGGCGTCCTACAATAAAGTCCATGTTAACAAGGAACCCAAACCCAACCTCAGTCCAGGTGAGAGGTACTTTTTTGATGTGGTTTACTCTTGTCTGTGGTTTGCATTCCCATGGAATTTTCTGATGGCTTGGCTAATCTTCACTGCTATCTACTCCCCTCTTATTTTTGCTGACCATCACCACCATAGAAACTAGTGAGGAGATTTCTTCCATGTGCACTCCTGCACATGATTTAAGAGATGTGGAAGAAAACTCATGTTGTGTGCAGATGACTTCACATTGCACCTCCCTAAAGTGCTTTTTTTTTTTCTTTTATCAGAGCACTGCACTTTGTTCCCCCTGGACAGCTTCATGTCACTCTGGAGGATTGTTTTTAAATGGCTGACATTTTCTTTTTCCATTAACTACATTGTTCAATTATCACCGTCAGACTAGTGCCTTGACATTTCTGTAGGCCTTCATGATTATTTTCTGAAAGGGTTAGTTCGGGGATTAACTGCCATGTTTTTGACAACCTCTCATCCCTCTCACCATGTATAGATTGCTTCTAAATCATTTCATCATGTAATAGGCAAAGTCATAGTATATGTCAGGAAGTACAAGGGTACCAGGGAGAAGAGAACCAAATCTCTTTTTCTTCCTGTTTCTCAGATGGATTTTGCTCTTTTGAAGTTGAGTTTCATTTCTTTCAACTTAACAAAATGCTGCTCAATTCTAAATGATTTCATGTTTGTATTTTTCCTTGTTCATGGTCTGATTAGTGGAGTTCTGAATATTTTGTACTTTTGGAAGCATAAGACTATATCTTTCTTAGTTTCTTTTACAATTTAAGAAATATATACATATGGTAGGTGTATATAAACATTTTGTTTATGGGTACATAGTAGGTGTTTCTTATACAATTTAAATAGACATTTGCATTATTTGAGCTATTTTTCTCTTTTCTTTAGAATAGAATGATATAGGCATGTGTATATGCAGATCAGGATATTCTTAGGTGAAACTGGCTTTTAATTTTATTACTATTATTTTATTTATTATTATTATTATTATTGTTTAACTGCAAGTGGATGACTGTGAAGAATACAGTGAGTACTAAAACAGTTGACAATGTCTAGATTTGTGTGAAGGTGCCTGAGTTTATACTCTGTATTTCTTTTGCACCACTAGTGCAAATGTCAACACAAGAGAAAAGCAAATTATTGGTATTGTGGATCATGTTTGAGAACACAGCTGCATAGTAATATTTGAAAACACAAATATAACATTGTTAGATAGTATTAGAAATGTAGCTATATCAGAGAAAAATAAGTATTGAAGGACCAGGTCAGGGTATAAATGCTTTGGCTGTCTGGGGTAGTGAGTTCACTACCTCATCATGCCACTTACTGCAACCATGGAAGTCACTTCATGGAAGGACACAGGACTCGGGCTGTACCTCATAGTTTCACAGTTTTTAAATAAAAGCCCTAAGAAACATTAGCAGAACTTATGTAAAACTATGATGAAGCAATGCAGTGAAAATTTTTATTACATTTAGATATCATACTCTCCTGTATCTTACCTTTGTTTGAAGCATTGAACAGCCAATTAATAATCTGTAACCATGTTCACTTATAACTTAAATTGTCTTAATAAACTCACTTGTATCCCTGTTGACTTAGCTTTGAAATGGTAAAATAAATTACTTAGAGAATAGCTTCACACCTGAGATATTTATAACTTTAATACACCCTTGGAATATGGTTTTAAAGTTATAAAATATTTAACCCTGGATTTTTTTCCCTCAGACAAATATATGTCAACATCATATAATGGTTCAGCCTGGCGAAAACGAATTCCTTTTTCAAAAACATATTCAAAAAGTGAAAAGATATATCCAGGTAACTATTTATAAGTGGTTTTACTGTATTATGCAATTCTGAAAATGAATAAGTTTTTAAGTGCAAGGAATATTTTAGAAAACATGAAGATAAATAAAAATTTCAAGATATATATGCACATTTAATTACTTGGAGTTTAGTAGTTATCTTGTCTACTGGTAATTTAATTCAACTGTTTTGCTGTGTTCCTCTTTGCCTATTTTTATGTGTTATCGGACAAGGTTTTTATACAGTTATCTCCTGGGCAACAAACAGTAATTGCAGCAATTATGTAATATGTTAAGATGGATTTTTTGCTGTGCTACATAGCAAATACATTAAACTGTGTCTTAACACAAGACATGAAGGCTTTGCTATGTCTACCATAGACAAATATTGGCTGGTACAGACTGACAGGACATCCAAGATGAAATTTCTCAGCCAATAGGTTCTGAGGGACTGTGGTCTCGCCCTGTCCTCTGGGAGGCTGGGGATCCTTGGAACCTCCTCAGGGTAGAGGTTTGTAGTAACCCTGACCTCAAGTTGTTCTTTTGCTAAACAGCTTGGTGTTTTCTTCCAGACTGTCCTGGGCTGGTTCAGTGGGTTTGAAAATCCACACAGGATAAAATGCTTTCAATTACATCTCAGACAATTGAACGTTTCAAAAAAAGTTCCAGTTAGGGAAATCCTACTGACTACAACTGTGACTCAAGGCATGGATCTGTGTTATATGTTTATATACTGGGACATCTGTTTTCCTTGTATCCCCCATCTTTCCCAAATCATACTATGAGCAAGAGAACTCTGTTGCAGTGCTATTTAATTGATTATACTTTCCCTTAACTTTGTGTGAATTTTCACATTATTGCACTGAATTTGGGGGATGGGAAAAGAGGTGAGAAGTTGATGAATATCCTCAGTGACGCTTGTTGAGCTCTACAGCCTTTTCTCCCATGGTCCTCTTATGGGCAAGGTGATATTTGGAGTGTTAAAGGATGTGCTCCTTCCTTATCCCCGTCTTAATGACTTCTCTTGTCTTTCAGTAGCCTTCTCCCCTACCATTCCAGATAGTTAAACAATAATTACAGAAGGATATTTGGGAAAGGAAGGGTCACTTCAGCACATAATATATGTGCCATCTATATCTAGCTGTGAATCTATGCATCCAGGCATGGCTGCATTGCAGTTCCTAGATACAATCTAGGGAAGAAAGCTTTGAGGAAAAAATTTGCAATGTTATCTGGGCTAGGGGGAAGGCAAGTCATGTCTAATATGAGGGGGCTGGAGACAGCTTCTTGAGATTTTCAAGTGCAAGTTTACATGGGAGACCACCTCACATTCCTGTGAGCCTCAAGTAGGAGTTTGTGGGAGGGAAATGAAGTCTTCTGGCTGGGATTAAAAGGATAAGCACCAAAAAGAGGCTCTTGTTGAGCCATATTGGGATGGGGTGGTATTTAGCTGTAATCTCAATAGATTGTTTCTGCCAGAGAGTCAAGGAGAAACTGAGCCAGCATCCACTGACCAAAACTTTGTTAATTAAAGTTTTATGGTCTGAGGACTAGCTGCAATGACATCACCTGGAAGCGTTTTAGAAATGTAGAATCTCCATCTCAGATCTGATGAATTAGAATTTGCATTTTAACAACATTCCCAGGTGATTAGGATACACGTTAAATTTCACGAAACCTTAGACTGGCTATCTAGGCCACCATTAAAGAAAAATAAGAGCTCAGCACAGGGCCCACCCATGTCAAGACTGTTGAAATTATATTCTCTTACTAGCTCTCTCACAACCACCACCATTCTCTCCTGTTCCACTTCCAGAAATTAGGATCAGTAGCAGGGAGGTGGAGTACAGAGAAAACCCTGAGAAAGAATTTTAAATCTGAATGTGACAGAAATTTAAAAGTGAGGTGCCTAATAAATCAGTGAATTGGACTGAATTTACATGCAAAGGAAGAATGAGGACCTGAGAAATTAAATAGATTTTACAATGAAATCATTTGTTTTCTTGTTTTCTTTTGATTAGGGAATGCATAACCTCAAAATAGTTATTCTTCCCAATTGCTGTCATCACCAGAATAGGAAGAGAGAGATCACCTTAGGTTTCTTCCTGCACATATTCTTGCTAGGTCACAGAGCAGCAATTTCAACCTTTCCCAGGGGACAGATGGACTGCTGGAGGAAAGGAGGCAGAAAACACAAGCTGCCATGAGTCTTTTCCTCTAGGGGGCTGGCAGCCAGGGCCATAGAAGTGTAAATGGACAGGAGAAGCCTTTTGGAAAAATGTTGTTGGATACTGTGGGGATAATGCAATAATAGAGGAAAATGCATGTGTCTGTGGGAATTAGGGGCAGAAGCTGAGGGTGACTAGAGATGCCATTCTCATCAGCGAGCCTCCCTTGAGGCCACATGTTCTTTGTAATAGGGATATTGCTGGTGTGAGTGGAGGTGCTTGTCTTCATATGATGGAGCCTTCCTTCTGTTCATTCTGCGTGTCCCATAGCACAGCCTTATATATGGTGTCACTTCCATCCTTTTCCACCCCTCCATCCAAATGCAAAACACAGTAAGCATCAAAAAGAAGTGGGCTATTTGAATGGCATCTTAAAATTTTATAAATTAAAACAATAAGATTAGCTTTTGCTTTTCCTTTAGATTTAATTAGCAAAAGAGGAACAAAATATCAGTGCACTAAACAAGAAAATAATTGAAATATTTTGTATATTTTGTTATTAGAGCCAAGAAGAAATGGGAGCAAGTAACCTGGAGGTTGAGAGAAGAGAAAAATGAGAAAAAAGTGCCAGACATCATCTGATTTACAATCAAAAGTGAAAATTCAAAGAATGAGATACTCAAGTACTCTATGCTGTTTACTGGATAGCCAAAGATGATAAAAATGCAAATTCTGAAAATAAGATGCAGGAAGTACATTGTGCTCTTTCAAAACTGATAAAAATGCAAATTACAAACAGCTGCCAGTGTATTTATGTAGGTCTGGAATTCATTCCGTGCATTACTACAAACATTTTAATAAAATTTAAAAGTTTGACAATTGAAATCACTTCTTAATTGTAAACCAAGCTAGATTGCAGAGATTGAGAAGTAAAATTGTGCCTTTGATTTCTATTTTGCAATATTCCTTATGGAAGAAACTCACTTTTTATTTCTTTACCTGGATTTTAAGCTGGGCCCTCAGCGATGATAACACATAAAGTATAAATAAATCGAATGAAGCCCCAGCGTTACAGTTTGGTGATGAATATGTTAGAGGAATCCCAATAGAAATACACTTTAATGTGTGGTAGAAAGAGATAAAAGATTGGTTTATTGTTCAGGACAGTTGTTAAACAATGTGTTTTAATTGGCAACTACAGAATCTGCTGAGGTGTGCTAGATTCAAACCAAAAAATAAACATTTTCCTACCACGAAAATAAAAATCATATGGTTATATTGGAGAAAAGGATGTATTTAAGAAAAAAAGTGAATAAATAACATGGTGTCCAAAATATCTTGGTGATATTTTAAGGAGTTAGTAACTCCAGAAGCATAAATATTTACAAGTGAAGAGAGACATCATTTGGAAACTAATTTTGATTTCTTTTTGGCCTTTTTAGAATTGTGTTTTGAATAGTACTTCTTAATTTAATTTTTAAAATTTTCATCAAAATTAACCACCTGCAGTGACTGAAACAAAAACATAGAAATTTATTCTTTAAACTTAAAAACACGTTTGAAAGCAATATAAGTAATTAACATTTAAAATGATGTTTTTGTAAGTTTGCAGCATTTATACTTCTGAGTTTATTAAAGCTTTGAAAATCACTAAGATTTTAGGATATCTCATACTTATATTTGCATGGATTTTGTGGTTATTGATATCTTTTTCAATATTTATTGGGGGGAAGGAATCAAGGCTCTTAGAAATATTTTATTTTAAAGCATCTTTTTATGATGTGGAGTAAAAAGCCCTAGTTTTTGGCTTCTAATGGTGCTCTGTGTACGCACTTTCAAGCACATCGAGATAGAGTCATTTATTTTTTAACAAGGGAGAAGATATAAATAAAAACTGTGGGCTGGGTGCAGTGGCTCATGCCTGTAATCATAGCACTTTGGGAGGCCAAGGCAGTTGGATTGCTTGGGCTCAGGAGTTTGAGACCAGCTATGGCAACATGGTGAAACACTGTTTCTACCAAAAATACAAAAATTAGCTGGGCTTGTTGGTGAACATCTGTGGTCCTAGCTACTCGGGAGGCTGGAGTGGGAGGATCACTTGAATTTGGGAGGCAGAGGTTGCAGTGACCCAAGATTGTACCACTACACTCCAGCCTGGGCGACAGAGTGAGACCCTGCCTCAAAAACCAAAAAACAAACAAACAATAAATAAATAAAATGAAAACCATGCCAGCAAAATACCTTGGTGAGATAGAGTTGAGAGGGATGTAAGAAAATAGCTGAGTTGACAGGCTGTCTAGATTGAAGCTGATGGGTGACATAATTCCATTTAATGAACAGATCTGTGTCCTTCTAAAACTTCAACTAGTTATGAAGAGGGAAAGGTTCTAGGAAGAAAATTCAAAAGACCTTCCTGAAATACAGATTCTCAGTGTATGTTTATTATATATTAAGTGCTGACGAATCAATGAGGAATAAAATCTGAAGGAAGGCCTGAATGTGATTGTACAAATGTTCCCGAATAAATGGACATTTTTATTGTGATAAGTTTTGTCTAAAGGACCACATATACGACAGCATTAGCCAACTCTGTTTCTATATGTGTGATTTAGGAAAAAGGCAATTGGTTTAAATGGGGGTAAACTACAAACCAGGGAGGAAGAAGGTAGCAAATCCCAAATAAGAAAATGTAGGAGGCAACAAAATAAGTGAACAACAAAAAATTAGTAAGTTAGCAAAAACCTATGCTTGCTGATTCCTGAACATGCAAATAGTACATGTAAACTTAAGTTTCACAATGCCAGTGTGTGTGTAATTGCTTTTGTGTCACATCTACAAGATTTTGATATCTTTCACTGGAGTTCCATGACTCTACTCTTCAACATGCAGCATTGATAAAAATGGTAATAAAAGTAGCATGTATTAAATGCTTATTATATTAATTTGCTAAGACTGCTATAACAAAGTACAACACATTGAATGTCTTAAGCAACAGAAATTTTTGTCTCATAGTTCTGTAGGCTAGAAGTCTGAAATCAAGGTGTCAGCAGGGTTGGCATTTTCTGAGGGCTGTAAGGGAAGGATTTGTTCCGAGTCTCTCTCCTTGGCTTGTAGATTGCTGTCTTTTCCCTGTGTCTCTTCACAGGATTGCCCTCTATATATGTCCCCAAGTTCAAATTTCTCCTTTTCATAAAGATACCGGTTTTATTGTATTAGAGGCCATCCTAATGACTTCATTTGATCTTATCTCTTTAAAGACCCTGTCTCCAAATAAGTTCACATTCTTAGGTAGCAAGGATTGGAACTTCAACATAAGAGTTTTGAGGGGGACATAGTTTAGAGAAAGTCTTAGACAAATTCACTTTTAACATTCCAGTCTCCCTATGCCTTTAAATTCTTTCATCTACAGTAAACAAGGGCAGATTTGGCATTTCTAGCTAATTCACTCTTGGTCATATTTTTGGCCCATGTTGAAGACGATAAACCAAACAGAGCTATTTCTCTCTTTCTCTCTCTCTTTCTCTTTCTTATCTTCCTTCCTTCCTTCCTTCCTTCCTTCTTTCTTTTTCTTTCTTTCTCTCTTCCTTCCTTTCTCTCTTCCTTTCTTCTTTCTTTCTTTCTTTTTCTTTTTCTTTCTTTCTCTTTCTTTCTTTTATTCTCTTCTTTCTTTCTTCTTTCTTTCTTTCTTTTTTTCTTTCCTTCTTCTTTTTTGGTTTAAATTTGAGACAGCATCTTGTTCTGTCACTCAGGCTGGAGTGCAGTGCCATGATCACGGCTCATTGCAGCCTTGACCTTCTGGACTCAAGTGATCCTCACCTCCACCTGCTGAGTAGCTGGGACTACAGACATGTGCCACCACACCTCGCTAATTTGTATATTTTCTGTAGAGACAAATTTTAAACGTTGCACAGGCTGGTCTTGAACTTCTGGGCTCAAGAAGTCCACCCACCTTGTCCTCCTAGATTGCTCAGATTACAGGTGTGAGCCACTATGCCAACCCACTTCGAGCTCCTTCTAACTCCCCAAGCCACCACATTAAATGTGCAATCTTTGCACAATGGGTCTATGTCAATAAATTTGGTCTGATCCAGTTTTATTTTCTTTCCACCACTATTCCACACCTTTAGTATCCATTCCCAGACATATTCCCTGTATTCCAATCTGTATAAATTAGAAAACTTAAGTAGTTCTTTTGTAGTGTAACACACCTCCTCACGGATCACACTTTGTACCTCATCTTTAGGGGCCTGAGTCTAGTTATGGGTCTAGTATCAAAGAAGAGTAGTGGGGTCTTGAGGGGCATTAGTATCTTTTAAGACAACTGTTAGGATTAATCTCAGATGGGGGTGGAGTGGTTGCTTCTACTGAGAGTGGAGCTACTATTTTTAGTGGTGAAGAAAACTCAGAATTTAGGGGCTCAACATCCCCATTTTTATCAGAGTCTTGCTAAATATCCCCATTCCAACTTTCAGGATCACATTCCTTCCCAGTCAATGTCCTTACTAGTTGACACCCCTTACAAGCCTGGGAATTCTATTTGCATTGTAAATTATCCACTTGCAAGATGAAATCTAGGGTTTGGTTTTCAGCAATTTCAGTCTTGTGGCTATAGGAAATAACACTCCCTTTTCAGGGCGGGTATGCAACTTTCAGGTCATTTATGCAACACTTGAACTGGAAATTCAAATCCTTGGGCTCATAATTTTTTTCTCCACTTTCTTCAGGGGTATTAGAAGCAAGCAGCAAAGCTCACTATACTTGTTAGTTTGACAAAACTGTTCAAAGTTCTCATAAATGTGTCAACAGATCTTTGCCTTTTATAAGTGGTTGATTTGGAGTTTCCATTTTGCCTATTTTGATTGCCACATTATGCCATTAACTATTAATCTTCTCTCTAGAGTTGGAAATAGAGTTATTATTGTGTTTAATCAGATTATAGAGCCAATTCCAGAAATCTTAGAACCAGTTCAAAAAACCCAACCTTAGGATTTTACTCCTCTAGAATTACACATGGTATGAAAATCCGTATTAGCATTATCCAGAGAAATGCAACCAATAGGATGCATGTCTATGTATAGGAAGAGACTTACTTTGAGAAATTGTGGAATTGTGGAGGCTTAGTGAATCTAAAATCTAATGGGGAAGGCCAACAGGCTGGAGACTCAGAAGGTAGTTGCAGTTCAGGTCTGAAGGCAGTCTGCTGGAAATGTCCTTGCTTGCGAGAAGTCAAGTTTTTTATTATAATCAGGTCTTCAACTGACTGGTTGAGGCCTACCCACATTATGGAAGGTGAGCTGCCCAATGTAAATCTCATCCAAAATCACCCTCACAGAAACATCCAGAATAATGTTTGACTAAATATATGGGCATCATGGCTCAGGCAAGTTGGCACATAAAATTAACCATCACATTGGACCTGGATAATCCAGGATATTTCCACCATAAATAGGCAGGTGGTTATCAAACTTACCCTTTGCCAAATAACCTAACATATCCGTAGATTCTGGGGATGAGGATGTGGACATCTTTGGGGAGACACTTTTTTCTGCCTAACAAGACTACCTTTCATGTGCATAATAAAAAATAGTTGTTACTATGTAGCAGAAACTATACTACATAAAATAACTCACTAAAAAATTAAATCTTCTCTTCACCTAAACAAACAATGAGCTAGGAAGAAGCCACCCTGGGCCACCCTGGGCTAGAGATGTCAGTCTTGAAGCCGTCATGGTAAGTCTCCTAATCAAGCTTTCTTCCCCATTACCTTCCCTTTCCACTTCTGTTCCTCAAGCACATATCAAAATATGCAATTTGTGAACATTACATTTGAGTTTTCTAGCAACCAAGACAAGAAAGAAAATATAATTATATCA